GGATGCCGGGTGGAGGGGATCAATGGGGGGAAAAAGGGGACATCTGTAATACTTTCAACAATAAAGATAAATTTTTAAAAAATTAAAATAAAAAGTGATATGAGCCCTGGCCTGGCGAGTTTGGGAGGCAACTGATTGATGTTTCTCTCTCACATTGATATTCCTCTCTCTCTCTCTCTCTCTCTCTCTAAAAATCAATAAAACCATATCCTCAGGTGAGGATTAAAAAAAAAGTGATATGAATAACATCAGCAATAGATGAAAAGGGCAGGAATCAAGTGGCCTATGAATTAATATTTACAAACATCTGTTACACCAGTTTTCAAATTTAATAATCTGGGTTATAAATGAGGATGTCCTGAAAAGTCCCTTTTTAATGAAAATAAACTGTGACTTAATGAATGATAGGTGAAAAAATGGTTTTAGAATCTTTAAATAAAGTAAGGAGAATTATTGGAGAATAAAAAAATAATTTAAAATCTGAAAGGAAATACCACTTTAAGTAAAAATAAATATATACTGGAAACTACCTATAGTATATAACAAATGTATATGTATAATATATATCTAGGTAGATCGAGGCATAGTAAGTCTGTCTCTATCATAACCTTTATTTCACTGTGCTCAGAACTTTCCTCTTTCCCACTAGACCTGAAGGCAGGAACAATGTATCATTCAAGTCTAAATACCGAGCACTTAGCACAGTGTCTGACCATATTTCCTAAATTAATAGCCATCAATTCCAATAGTTCTGAATCTCCTTGACTTACAATAAAAAATCACGGAAAAATTAACCTAAAAAAATTATATCACACAAATCAAGGCCACAAATGTTGACTCTAAATTAGATTTAACCTCTGTAAACCAAGATTATACATTAACCAATATGTGTATGGAGGAGTGGATGAAAGTGAGGAAGCCAGCTTTAGTGAGAAACAAAAATCAAAATTTTATAATAAAAGTGCTGCATTTTGGTGGGGTAGAGTCCTAAATGAATTTATGAGAACAGATACTTATGCAGATATAGAGAGCTTCCCATTCCCAAGTCTGTATTTTGCAAAATTATAATTTTTTTTCTTTTTATACCTCAAAACTTAATAATGGATGTGGGATAAGCTTGCTTACCACCTAAAAATTAGGGATCTGTAAAGTTTGGATTTTTGAAAATACCACAGTCCTTAGAAAGCTACGTCACAGATGATGGATTGCTTCTCTCTTTCAATTTCAAACATTCGCCTCTTGAATACCTGTACTGTAAAGGGGGTTCTTCACCATTGGGTAGATGGGGGATCTCAGGTGGTGTTACAAAAACAGTATGTTCACTTTTGAAAGATTCATCCAATTCTATTAGTCGCATTTCACCACTTTTGTCCATATCCACCTGAAGAAGTTTAAAAAAAAAATACATTAAAAAAAATAGATTGGTTAGCCAAGTGTTCGTCCATAGGGGAATGGTTAAATAAACTATGTACACGACTGCATATTCTAGAGCTATTAAATAAATAAAAAACAGAGAATGAGCAAGTTCTCTATGTACCACTACAGAAGGATCTCAAGATAATTAAGTGAAAGTAACAAGGTGCAGAGCGTTGTATATAGTGAAATTTTTTAAAAAATAATCCTCACCAAAGGATATTTCTTCCCATTGATTTCTAGAGAAAGTGGGAGGGAGAGAGACACTTCGATTGGGTGCCCCCCGCCAGGGCTGGGGATTGTGCCCTTGACCAGGAATTGAACCTGTAATCCTTCTGTCCACCGGCTGATGTTCTAACCAATGAGAAAAACCAGTCAGGGCTATAGTGAACTAACTTTTGAGTAAAGAGAGAGGGAGCCCCAGCTGGTGTGACTCAGTGGTTAGGGCATCGGCCTGCACATGGGAGGGTGGCGGGTTTGATTCCCAACCCTGGTCAGGGGCATAAGAGGCAGCTGATTGATGTTTCACTCTCACATAGATGTTTCTCTTCCTCTCCCTTCATCTCTCTCTAAAATATCAATACAAATATTTAAAAAAAATGCTTATAAGATCTGGTTATGTAAAAAAGTATGAAACTATATTATAATTATGTAAAAAACACAAAGTAAATGCAAAATGATTAGTAAGGGCACTGGACTTACAAAGTTTTCTCTCCCTTTTATTTTCCACAAAATTAATTAATTAATTAATTAATTAATTAAATATATCTTTATTGATCTCAGAGAGAGGAAAGGAGAGAGAGAGACAGACAGACAGAAACATCAATGAGGAGAGAGTCACTGATCGAGCCCGCAGCCTGGGCATGTGCCCTGACCGGGAATTGAACCCCGATCACCTATCCTAGGTCGATGCTCAACCGCTGAGCCATGCCCGGCTGGGCTCCACAAAATTTAATGAAAGTGTTAAAAAATTAAACTTTCAATGAAAACAGAGAACACCTAAGCCATTATTAGCAAGCCTAACAGTTATTTTAAAAAACAACATTAGGAACATGTCAGTGATAACTCATAGTAATAACCTGTCAGTGATAAACCATATGTATCCCTAGTAGAATTTGGTATCTATGGGCAACCCAAAAACAAATGAAAAGCTCTATATACAAACATTTTTATGCAGAGGAAGTGGGTTTAATCTAATTAGCAGGGCAGCAATGATAATGAAATAGAAAAGATGGACTAGAATAAAAAGGTTTAAACAAATACCGAAGGTCACTGGAAAGGAAGCTGAAAACTACTCCTGTATCCATGATGGAACATTATAAGAGAACTGCTTGTCAATGAACATCAGGTGTTATAAAATTTTTATTTACTTATTGAACAGATTCTCCCTCTCCAGGCCTGTGCCTACTTCCTACTCTCCAGCCACTTTGCACAGAAAAAACCTGTGGACAAGGACAACTGCTTTAATTCTTATTGTAAAGACTATTAAAATATTAAAATTTTTCACTATAGATTCAGTACCATGGTAAAAGATATTCCCCTAAACATTTATACCAATAAAATCTCATTTCAACATTATAAAAACAGCAATGCAATAATTCCTGCATTTATCAGTCGGACATTTCTGTCTTGTGGGAAGCACAGTGACACCTGTCTTTATTGGGGGAAAAAGAAATCCAACACCCCTTGCAGGATAAAATTAAAATAATTTTCATAGTATCTTCATATTTTTTCACAAGATATTAATATCCTCAGAAGACATAAAGAGATGCTCAGGAGACCAAGAAAAATCTTGCTAGATTATTTGTTAAACAAAACTGCCCTTGGCCAGGCTGGGTGTGGCTCAGCGGTTGAGCATCGACCTAGGATTCAGGAGATCACGGTTCGATACCTGGTCAGGGCACATGCCCGGGTTGCGGGCTTGATTTCCGGGGAGGGGTGTGCAGGAGGCAGCTGATCAATGACGACTCTCTCATCACTGATGTTTCTCTCTCTCTCTCTCTCTCTCTCCCTCCTCTTCTCTCCTCTCTCTGAAATCAGTAAAGATGTTAAAAAAAACCCCACAAACATTAAAAAAACAACAAAATCATCCTTGTGCCAAAGTACATAAACAAACAAACTGCCCTTAATGAAACTCCATCCTATAGAATAGATTGTGACAACCTAAAATATAATCATCTGAAGAACAAGAACACATGGTTCTTAGTCATAAATGAATCTCAAATGATTCTCATATATTGTTTTTCTTATTCCTATTCAGCATTAACCACCCCAACTTTTAAGTCAGTCAAATATTTTCTGTTTGGACATGCTAAGATCAAAAGAGGAATATGTATAATTTCTGTTCAATCTTAATCATGGGTTGGCTCAGGCAGTTAATGCGTATCTAATATTATTTATTTTCCATAGCTAAACTGCCAGAGGTAAGAGAATCTGTTCACTTAAAAAAATTAAGCCAAAAAAAATTTAAGCTCAAAGTCACTCAACTAAGGAATAACCCCCCACTAATGATTACTTTTAAAGTACTACTGATTCGCAGATTAAAAGCAAGCTTGTTGACTTTTTGTGTTGGGTGTACTTAAAATTGTAGTATTAAAATATAAAAGGTAGTAACAGCACTGCATAATTTTTACTATTTCAGAGAGTTCTGCTTAATTATACCAGAAATACAAATGATCTCTAACTATATATGAAGGTTATTAAGATATATTTTGGGTCTTGTGACATTTTATTTTCTCTAATAAAAACAGTTCCTTGAATTATAATAAAGCAAATATGAGTAACCATGTTTTAATGAGTGAATTTTTGGTTTTGACTTTCTAAGTAGTCATTAAAATCTTTTAAGTATAACACTAATCCATTATATATGTGATCTTATGTTGGATATAGATTTTAAATAGGTAAATTGCATCTTAGGAAAACAGTCTTCCTAGAAATAATGGTTATACATTTAATGGAATTGTTTCTTTTTTTGAGACTTCTCAGAACTTTTATTCTTTAAGCAGTTATTCCAGTCATGTTCTGCATTGACTCATCAAGTAAAGAGCAAGTAGGTGATCTACTCTCAGAAAATCCTAGACAAAATAATGTAGTAATTATTAGTAATAAAATATCCTGAGAACATGAAGTCCTAGGTACTTAGCAAAATTACAATTCTTATATGTCTTACAATATTAATGAGTACTTTTTAAATAATGTGAGTCCTTAGCTGAAACACTAACTGGTGAACAAAATACACACAGTGAGTGAAATATAAACAGGAACAACACAAGATTTCTTTCTTCTGCACTATTAATTGGATTCCTACAATTAATTCATTGTTCCTATGTGAATTAATAAATTTATTGGCAAAAGCTATTAGTAAAACCCTGGTCACTAATTTGGTCCATTTAGTTTGGTACAGCAAACAATTGTTACACAAATGTATGCAGTTGTTCACAAGGAAAGCTCAGTAAGTACAAATGGATGACCAATGGAAGCCCAGCACCATACAGGGAAAAGTACAAAATGCTAGTACAAAATGCTAGTCAGGAATATCACTTTCATATAAAAAATCCAACAATTATTCCTGTAAAAAAGTATTTAGAGAAATCTTTTCTATTTAAAGCACATCTATTTATTTATTCTATTAATATTTAACCATATAGGCATCAAATAAAGCAAACTTAAAAATCTGACTGAAATACTGAAAAACAAGTTCTTGGTACAATGCTGCAATAAAGACAAAATTGTCAAGGAGCTGGCATAACTTCTCAAAATAAACAGGGTTTCAAAGCCCCATATGGGCAGAGGTAAACTTACAAAAAGGCGCTGATCTAAAGGTCCATTTGTAAATAGGTTATTTAAAATATAGAAAATACCCCCCCCCTCAAAAAAAAACACCATCCTTTCTGAGGTGGTAAAAATGTTCTATATTTGGAGTCATGGTTGCATGGAAATCTATATTTGACCAAACTTATCAAACTGTACATTTCAAAGGTGCATATATTGTTGATATATCTCTGAATTTTGTTTTTTTTAAAAACTGCCCTAAAAGGCGGTTAGAGTACCATTCCACCAAAAATAAGTTTAATACATATTTTTAGCACAACACTGCAGCCCTGCACCATTTGAACTACAGCCAATCACCCTTTATATCAGTGTTTCTATGGTAAAATGAATTATGAGTTCTAAGCAGATTGTGGCATATATCCATCTTTTCCCTATTCCAAAGCATTTCAAGGACTTCAAGCACCTTAGCCTATTAATTCTCTATCAACACAGCGAAGTATTTCTCTACATCCATCATCCCTCAAGTTTTCTTAAGTGAGTAAAGGGTATAATATATATATATATACCTACACGATGCTAAACAATGTCATGAGATGATAAAACCAGATGAACTACTAATCTAATAAACTCGAATTAAAACCAGCAAGATTAGTGGAATCTAATGAACAAAATAAACTAACAACAAAACAGAAATAGACTTACAGATACAGAAAACAGACTGACAGTTGTCATAGGGGAAAGGGGTTGGGCCGCAGGTTCAATTCTTGGTCAAATTTCGATCCCCAGCCCCTGTCTGGGCTTGTGTGGAAGGCAACAGAGCGATGTGTCTCACACTGACTTTTTTCTCTCTCTCTCCCCCCTTCCCTCTCTCCCTTCACTCTCTAAAAATCAATGGAAAAAATAACCTTGGGTAAGGATTAACAACAACAAAAAAAGAATGCTCGAGTTAGAGGTCTACAGGCTTGAACAAAAGTCCTATTGTCTGTAAGTGGGCAGGCAGAGATAGAGACCTTCCTGCTAAAATAAAACTCACGATTTAGTAAAATCCTGCAGGGTATTCCTAAGAGGTTGTGTTCTATAATATCTGGTAGGCCACCAAAACTTTCATAATAAAGGGTCAATGATGGAATGAAATTAATTTAGGTTTTGTTAAAAGCTATTAAAACTTATAGAAACTATAATTCCTAACATTTATAACAGACACACAAAATAAGTTAGAGCACTGTGGACAAAGTATTACTTACTTTATCTACGCAATCATCAAAAAACGCCAGGCTTGCATCTTTATCACTGACAAAAGAACATTCCTCAATGAAGCGAATAAACATTTGTGTTTTGGTCATCATGTTATAGAATTTTTGATGTGATCGGTCCCGGCTTCTTAAGAAAGCTGTTCAACATAAATTTACAATGTCAGAATATCATTCATAGAATTTTTAAGCTAGAAGGAACTTGATCAATCATGTCATCTGTACCCACCATTTTGCAGAAAAAGAAACTAAGACCCTGAAAGGGAAAGTGACCTGACAAAAACAGCAACAGGAAAGAAACTTGAATCCAGATCTTCTAAATCCTCATCCAGAATTGTCTCTGATGTGCCCTCACTACCGTGAAGATTACACATAAACTAGTAAATGTGAAAGCACTTAAAATTGCTATTTTCCCTCATGTATTGCATTCGGCTCATGCTCTCTCTCCATATACATATGTAGCTTTCTCGAAGCAGCAGTTACATCCCCTCTAGTATTCATTTATGTTTGTGTTAATACTTAAAGAGAGTAAAAGTTTATTTCCTGATTTCACACTCCACCTTGCTCACTATATTCAGTTACACAACACTTGGGTTTTCTTTTGGGCCCGTGAACTCAAACTCTTTCCAGCCTCAGGGACTTTGCATAAACTGTTCTTTCTGCCCAAAACACTCTTCTACTTTCCCATTGTCTGGCTAATTTCTACTCTTCCTTTTGATCATGGCTCAGTTGTGAATTCTTCAGAAGGGCCTTCTGTGATCTAAAGTTGAGAACTGAAGTGTTCATTCATATTATTTTCAAATTGCTTATCTTCTTGACTATAAGCTCCAAGGGAGAAATGATCATATCTCTCTTTTCTTTTCTTTTTTCTTTCCTTTTCTTTTTTCTCCTCCCCCCTCCCCTCC